TCCATCCTATCATTCCATCCATCCATCCATCCATCCATCCATCCATCCATCCATCCATCCATCCATCCATCCATCCTATCATTCCATCCCATCCATCCATCCATCCATCCAATCATTTCATCAATCTATCCAATCATTTCATCCATCCATCCATTTCATATTTAGACTTATAAACTTATCAGATTGAACTTTTGTTTTTGCACTTAGCCAAATTAGCCTAAAATGAACCTGTGGAGGTCAGTTTGAGTCCTGAAAGTAAACAAATTTGAAAGGACAAACACAAATAGCCCAGGGCTTCCTTTTATTATGACAGTGTCACGTTCACTCAACAGAGCAGCCTTCAAGCCTTCAGTTTATTTGGTCTAAAGAGGCAGATGAAACCCAATACCCTCCTTTTTTCCCCCCCAGAACAAAGCAGCTCAGCAGATACTTCCTGACTGGCATCAAAACCACAACACCCAGCACACAGTGTAAAGATCCAAGAGTAAAACAGTTCTTGTAAATATATTGAGTTGTTTCTTTGTTGCGTGGCTTACCTCAGCTTTTAGTACATTTGCGTTGACAGAGTGGAGGCAGAGTATGAAGCAGGCCAAGCTGAGCAGCTGCGGCACCATTCTGGACACTGGAAAATACCTCCCACAAAAAAAGTTCAGCAAACTCTCTTCAACAAAGTCCCCCAAAAATACAACGACGACTGTTTAAAACATGGTGAAATTGACCGATGCTGCTTCAAAACGTGGCAGGAAATTTTCTCGTATCCGTATGGAAACTTTTCGCGCACAGTTTTCCCTGCGCAAAAGCCAATGGAGTCAAAAACTGGAAAAAAAAAAACAAACAAACCAAGAAGCGCTAAAAGCATTAAGATAGACACTGGAACTGCTGTGTAGTTCAATGCAAAAAAATGAACTAAAAGCTTCACAGTTTTGCTTCCGTTCTTTTCTCCAAGGCTGCCAGCAGCTTGTGGACGACGAGTGAAGGAGGCAGATGGATTTTCCCTGAAGGTCCTCCTCCAGATGTGCGCATGTCATTTGGACACTTTACTTATTGAACATCGGGTTTACTTCACATCACCCAGCATCAACACACGCTGACATACTTTCCCTGTATTAGAGCAGATTTTATTCATTATAATCTTCAAACTGATATTTATACTTTAATCAGGGGTGTTAAATGAAAAAGTGGGGCTCAGGGAAATCAAGCTCTTGCTGTCGTTTTAGACTTTTAATTTTATTCCCATGAACTGTCTCCTTAGATTTACCTCAGCCCATCATTCTATCAGCTCTGATCAGCTTTCCTGTTCCTTTAGAATAAAACAATCCCCACAGTATGATGCTGCCACCACCATGCTTCACACTAGGGAGGATTAATCTGGAGAAATGTGTCCTGCTGCTTATTTTTTTTTAAAGCTTATATGAGCAAGACACCTTCTTCCTCATGTTCCGTGTGCAACCTAACGAATTAGTTTATTTTGTTTAAATTTATTTTGCAAAAAGAACACATTGAATACCCAGTTAAAAGAGAAATTCAGTGCAGGAAGAGGCAAAAAGCCAGTGTGTCTTCTCTGAAGCCTTTGGCAAAAAAAAAAATAAAATAATAATAATAATTGTAAATGGAAAAAAAGGAAAACAAACATACATGTAGATGCAATTATATTTTATATAGCATAAAAAAGAAGATTTGTAATCTTAAATGGAAAATGTTTATATTTTACTTACGCTATGTTTTAAGCGTAAATTTAGGTTTTTAATAGTAGGCTTTTTAAAGTGTTGATACTCTGAAAAGCATCAATACTCAAACACTGTAATCAGAAACAATGCTAATTTGGCGGGGTATAAATACCAAATACAATTGTTGTTTGCATATTTTTTGCTTTTTTTAACTTTAAATTTCTAGATTATTTGCACATTAAAAGAATAACACCTCAAACAACCTAATAATCTTCTCATATTGTGTTATATTTTTACACTTATTAATTAAATAGAATCTGTGATTCTGTTAAGAAATAGTGCTCCATGCTAAGATTGGATAAGGTGAGTTTTCAATGGTATTAAAAATGTTTTGTGCCTTTAATTGTTTGCAATTTGTTATTCCCCTTTTATCTAAAATAGTAATGTATAGTTTTACGTATTAGTATGGTGCAACCCTTGTGCCTGGAGTCTTTCTCTCTAGGTGTTGGAA